CACATAATTGATTAATACTCAATAGATTATGCTTTAATCCATTCACATATAAAACATTCTTAATTTGTATGGAAGAGGTATTACCTATTGTACCAATACCTTCAATGTAACCTTTTGAATTGTCTCCAAAAGTCACTTCTCCTCCATTTTTGGCGTTTAGCTCAATGAACCGGCTTTTGTCTCTGGTCATATGTCTTGAGCATCCACTATCAAGGTACCATGAGTTTGAATTTGTTTCCCGTGCCTTGTAGCAATGCTCCTTTCCCTACAAACATAGATTAATTTTTGATTTTTGGTACCCAAATCTTTTGGGTCCATATTCATTAGTTTCCAAAATCCTAGTCCCCTTAGGTATCCATTGTGTGGGATATTTTTATCTTTAGTAGTAATGAGTTCTTTAGGAACCCACACGCTTCTAATGATTTTCCATTAGAGGTTCTTTGGGGACCTCTATGATTGTAGTTTCTAAAACTTTTTCTAACAAAGTTGGATTTGAATTTCCACCTTTTTCAAAATGTTTTGTTCCAACTTTATCAAAAGAAGTTTTAAGATCATCAATTTTCTTTTGATGATCATCATTGATCTTTGAAAGTAATTTTGCAAATCTAAATTTTTCTTTTCAAACTCTTCTAGTTTGATTTGCAAATTTTTGATTTTACTTTCAAGATCGTTGTTGGTTTTGGATATGAGTTTGTTTTCATTTTTCAATTTTGAAACATCATTTTTATATTTTAAAAACAATTTCTCATAATCCGAAGCCAACCCATTGTACTCCTCAAATAACTCATCATAAGATAAATCATCAAAATCGGAGGTTACCTTAGAATCTTCCCCGAATGCCATCAAGCACAAGTTTGCTATTTCTTGTTCCTCTTCATCGGAACCTTCTTCATCGCTCCATGTAGCCACATGAGCCTTGTGCTTATTCTTTGATTGACCCTTTTTCTTCAATTGTGGGCAATCATATTTGACATGCCCCGGCTTTTTGCATTCATAGCAAATGATTGGGTCCTTCTCTTTTGGTTCATTTTTGAGGCCTTCGTTTCGTTTGAATTTTCTTCCTTGGTAAGGTCTCATCATTTTTCTGAACCGTTTGGCAAACAATGCCATTTCCTCGTCATCATCATCATCATTAGAATCACTCATCTTTTGTGGATTTGAGAGCAACTCCAATGTTTTTCTTCTTCTCCTTCTCCTTTGGTGTCTCTTCAACTTTATCAAGGTCCACCTCATCTTCAAGCATCATCTCATGAGTGAGGAGTGAACCGATAAGTTCTTCAAGAGTTAAGGATGATAGGTCCTTAGACTCGATGATTGCCGTCTTCTTTGATTGCCATGATTTTGGGAGGGAGTAGACTAACTTCCTCACAAGCTTTTCATTTGAGATGATCTCTCCATATGATTTGAGACCATTGACAATCGTTGAAAATCTATCCGTCATAGCTTTGATGTCTTCATTTGGTTTCATCCTGAAATTTTCATAGCTATGCGTTAGAATACTAATTTTTGATTTCTTTACCTCATCTGTACCTTCATGTGTGACTTGAAGTTTGTCCCATATTTCTTTGGCGGTTGTACACGATGAAACTCTTCCGTATTCATCTGGTCCAAGAGCACAAAAATAATATGGATGGCTTTGGAGTTGAGCTGGAACATTCTTGTCTCTCCTTCACTCCACAACCTTGGATGAGTGAGAGGTTTGATGTATCATTCTTCTACAGCATTCCATGCTCCCATGTCACTTGCTTGAATGAAGTATATCATTTTATTCTTCCAATAGGCATAGTTAGCTCCATTGAAGAAAGGAGGCTTGTTGACGGGCATCGAATCGAGACCGGAGTCGAAGTTTGAAGTGGAGGCCATTGATGACTTTGTAATCGATGTAACTCTTCCCGGATCGACTCAAGAGGCGATTAAACCTTCAAATGAGTTAGGCTCTGATGCCAATTGTTGAGTTAATCGAATGACGAAATTGGCCAAGAGGGGGGTGAATTGGCAATAAAAAATTTGTGGAAGCTTTTGCAGAAAATTGAAAGTAATTGCACAACGATTTACAGTGGTTCGACTTTCTCAAACAAAGTCTACGTCCACTACCTTAGCTATCCACACTAAGGATTTTCCAACAAATTCACTAATTTGTTCTTTCTTTTGAGGCCAAAGAGATAACCTTACAATTCCTCAAGAGTATACCCCAACTCTTGAGAACACTCTTTTCTCAAAGAGAAGATTACAAATTTGCAAACTTACAAGAAAACCTCACAAGGTAAGATGTTTGCACAATTCTAGAACAAAGAAAAGAACACTCAAAGATGAATACAATTGAGCACAAAGAGTGTTCTTGAAAGCAAAATGAATATTGAATGAAAATAGGCTTGAAATGCTCAAACTTGAGGTTTGATGCTTTCTCTTTGATTCTCTCTTGATTCTAGTTGCTTGATATTTCTTGTTATTGATCAATGGCTTCTAAGCTTGCTTAAATACACCTTGGATCACTTCTGAACGTTGGGGATAATTAGAGAAGATATTATAGCCGTTTTAGTGTGAAAACATTAATAAAACAGCTTGGAGCGTGGGGGGAATCGGTTCCCTCTCATAGGGAATCGGTTCCCTAATGTAAATTCAAATATTTCGACCGTTGAACAGGGGGGAATCGGTACCCCCTTGGGGGGAATCGGTTCCCTCCGAGCATTCTGGAAATCTCGGAGCCAAACCATTCAGGGGGGAATCGGTTCCTCCTATGGGTGGAATCGGTTCCCTCTGAGCAATCTGGAATTTTTGGCTTTGAATTGGTTCGAAATACTTTGTAAAATTATTTTGAAATTGTTTTATGATTAAAACTTAATTTTACACTTAAGTAAGGATCAAAAATGATTTTTGAAATATTTGGAGTAATGTTTTGATATTCGAATAGTTATATCGAATATACTTAGAAAATCATTTGGAAAATCTTAAAATCCATTTAACTTAATTTGTTATATCGAAATATTAAAATGGGTACTGGCGGGTTTCAAGAAAGGAAAGAGTCAAGGTTCTGTAAAGCCGAGAGATACGGAATTGAGGTTGTTAACTGGGGTGAATTGGTCAAATGTTTTCTACCCAAGATGAAACCGAGTTCCATCGAGATCAAAATGAGATAGAGTTCCTTCGAAGAAGAAAACGCATTGAATTGCATAATTGCATACATTATAGGCATGAATAGGATCATGACATTCATAATTGCATGATGACTTAAGCATGTACAGGTTTCATAGGGATAGTTGAAGATTGAAGATATGAAAGCATCAAGATGAAGATAACTAGTTTTGAAATCTTGAAAAGAATGATGTTTAGACGATAACTGAGCCAAAGTAGATTCACATATCCAATGGCTTCCAGACAAGTTTTCACGATGGAGATGGATTTTCAGAAATGTTGACCTTTGAAACAAGTCAATCTTAAGCCTTCACGAAAGAGCAGTGAAACAATCATCATAAGCCTTCACAGAAGAGTAGTGAAGCAAACCTGTTTATTGAAGATTTTCGAGTTGTATACTCTCTGAAGGAATAGAGAGTGGACCTGTTTTATTGAAGATTGTTCGAGTTCTATATTCTCTGAAGAAATAGAGAGCGAACTCGTTTGTTGAAGATTGTTCGAGTTCCATACTCTCTGGTAGAATAGAGAGCGGACCCGTTTTATGAAGATTGTTCGAGTTCTATACTCCCTGAACGAATAAGGAGCGGACCCGTTTATTGAAGATTGATTGAGTCTTATACTCCCTAAATGAATAGGGAGCAGACACGCTTGTTGAAGATTGATCGAGTCTTATACTCCCTGAAGGGATAGGGAGCAGACCCGTCATTCAAAGATTTTTCAAGTCTTGTTTATCCTGAAGTAATAGAGAAGCGGATTAATCTTTTGAAGTTCTCATGACCGGACAAATTCGATCATCTTTTGGTCTTTGCTCTATTCTCGTTACACGACCATGAGCAAAGAGGGGCAGCTGTAGATACTCGATTTGTCCGGGGCTAAGTCGGAGAAGACTCGAAGTGATGACAGACTTAAAGAAAGCCCAACTAGGTTGAGGCCCAATTCAAGTCCAATGGTCCTCAGCAGAGTGAACTCTAGTCCACTTGAAACCTGGAAAGTAAAATGGTTATAGGAAGTTAATAAATGTGAGAAGGGAGTTAACAAAGGATGGATCAATTATTGGTAGTGGAGGAGCATGAAACTTAGGAAATTAAAAACTATAAAGAGTCAGTTTTTTTAGGGGTAATTAACCGCTGGAATTTATCAACTAAAGCAGAGAGGACAACCGTTTTTGAGGGAAAAAAAAGACAAACACACAAGTTTTAAAAAAAAAGTATTTAGTCATCATTGAGAAACATTTTTTTGGGGGGTTTTCGGATTGTAAACGATAGGAAATTTAAAAGAGAGAGGTCTTTCTCTAGATTTTTGAAAGAGAAGTGTAAACAAACAAAGGAGAAAAATCATCAACAACGAAAAGGGAGGACAAATTGAAGTCAGTGAAATCAAAGGATCTTCTTTTCCCTTCATTTTTACACGCAGGGCAACACAACAAATTCCTATTTCATTTTCCTTTGTAACAGAAGAAAGGTAAGTGTTAAAACTCATTTTTGTATTTGAGATGTTTTTCTATATCTATAAAAATCAATGAAATTTTCTTAAGAATATTCGATTCTATTTTAGTTTGTAGTGTACGATGTTTGTGTGTGGCTATGTGAGTACTTTGAAATGGAAATATAAGGATAAAGGGAAGAGGGTAGTCTTACCTTAGGTGTATGGTCTCTTTGTTTATGTAATATTCCGCCTTTGGTTTCCATGGTCGAGCGTCGGAGAGGTAAATCTGAGAAGTCGGTTGAGTGAAAACAGTGAGTTTCTAAGGCCCTCGTCGAGAGAGTTAGAAGATAAAAACGAGATTCTCAGTTTATATGGCTTAGCTTGGGTTTTCCTCTTTGTTAAGTGGTTGCCGTCGAGTAGAGTGGCCACCAAGGTGGTGGTCGATGCGACCGCTACGAGGAGTAGATAGGAAAAGGCGGCCGTTGTTTCCAGGAGGGTTGAGGTGGCCAATCGTGTATGGTGGTGCTTGGAGAGCAGCGCCGTTTGAGAACAATGGAGAGAAGTTGAGAGAACGGCGTGGGGGGGAAGAAAATGATCTGTTAGACTAAGGAGAGAAAAATGAAATTAGGTTAAAATTAAACCTAAGATATTTTGATATAGTCAATCTCCAAAACAGTGCATATCAGTCCATGCTTATCGGCCACCCGCTATGAACGATGCCATCGCCCGTGCTCACTCGGCTCGAAGTTTGTTTTTATTTTCCGATGAGGCGTAGAGATGGGAAAGAGAGAAGGATAAAAAGCAACCAAAACACATCATCCAGGGGGAGTGATCACCAAGTAGAGAACCAACCATCACAAGTACCACAAAACAAAAGAAATCCATAACCAGAGTAAAAAAAACCATTAGCAAATCAGAAAAAAAAGAACAAAGCAACACAAAAAACCTCACCTTCCTTATTAGAAGAGCAGAACACCGTCATCGCCTGAACCTGAGCCTCGTTGGGTCATCAAGGGTAAGACTTTCACCCGTAGGTACTGTGGTTGCATGGGATTGGGTTTTGAGGATTTTGGGTTAGGATGGGTAAAGATCGATGGGTTTGTGTTGTTTAACTCCTCGTCGGAGTGTTAGGTGGCAGAGTCTGCGGCGGTTGGGGTTTCAAACGGGGTCAGGCGGGGAGGAAAGAAGAGAGAAAGCCGAGTTTGAGAAAGGGATTTGAGAGAAAGGAAAACGGTTGGGATTGGTGTCTAGTTGGAGTGAAGAGGAAAATGGTATCTAGTTAGGTTAAAGTTTACCCTAATGTCATATATGAATGCTTCAAAACGGCGGCGTCCCTTGATGGCGTGAAACGACGGAGTTTCAGGAGGCTAGACCCATCAGCGTCCTTAGCAAAGTGGAGTAATTATTTGAGAGATCCCTCCTACTTTTATTTGTCTCGTTATAGTTCATAATCCGAACTTTACTGTTTTATGATTTTGCCTTGTAGTTTTCATCGTGTTTCATTTTGATCCAGAATCATGCTAGGGCTATTTTCATGTTGTTTTGACATTGGATATGAAATCTTAGAAATTTTCGTTTTAATCCTATGTAGCATTTGGGTTATATTAGGTTTGGGGTGCCTAGAAATGAAATCGAGTTATTAATAGTATGTTTTATTGTATAATTCTAATGTATGTCAATATCGTTGTATGCATGTATGTACCATATCACCGTACTTTATTTTAGGCCATGTAATATATTCTTTTATTTAATTAATTTTTGGTATGACATACTTTTTTCATAAATTGCATGATAGCCTCATTTGCATAACTCGACATATAATAATGGATTAAGGGTAATACCCTTTTAATTTAAAATTGTTTTAAGTGGGCAGTCATAACTGATTTGAGGTCCGCTTTTAATGATTTTAAAATAAAAGTGTATCCCGAAAGTGAAACAAAAAAATTGATTCGTCACCTAAAATTTGGGAACGAGAGAAAAAGAAATGTTCGTTTATTTAAATATATCGAGAAAATGTTGTTATATCTTTAAGATCTGGTCTCGATATTTGTAAATAATCGAATATTCTTTATCTTTCTAAAATGACTTGATAATTTTAATTTAATTTGTTTGAGTGCTCTTGAATGTTTTTAAATTTACGTCATTGTTTTATGGGATCAAAAATCAAATAAAGTTCAAATTTGTAAAATTCAATACAATGACGTTAATTAATCGACTAGGTATCAATTTAGGGCATCGTGGGGTGCTAATCATTCCCTACACGTAACCGACTCCCGAATTCAGATTTTGGTAACGCAGACCTTAATTTGTTGTTTTAATTAAAATTAATTTTTATTTAAAATAACAAACATCTTTGAATGCCCAATCACACACTAATCAAATATTGGTGACGACTCTTTGAATAATATATTTTTAACGAAATTTTTTTTCAAATTTTTCGAAATGAGAAGTTTTTTAAATCGCATTTGATTTTTAAAAATTAAAAATCAATTAAAAAAATTAAATTAAAAATTAATGTGATTTTTTAAAATAACACATTTTCACGTTTTAGAAAAAATCGTTTCAACACTCTTATCTCGAACAACAACTCGAGAAGCGTTTCAAGCTCTTCAGGTTCTGGACAGTGCCGGACAAATCATTGTTTCTGGCTTCTCACAAAGACTCAATCCAAGTGGTCGTCGGAGACGCCTCTGCTGGTGCCGATGCTGAGCTGATCGAGGCTTTGCCCAATCTGGAGATTGTTGCCAGCTTCAGTGTAGGAATTGATAAGATAGATTTGGCAAAGTGTAAAGAAAAGGGCATCCGAGTTACCAACACCCCTGACGTTTTAACTGACGACGTGGCGGATTTGGCGATTGGGTTGATATTGGCGGTGTTGAGGAAGTTTTGTGAGAGTGATCGGTACGTGAGGAGTGGCAAGTGGAAGAAAGGGGACTATGTTTTGACCACCAAGGTTCGTTTAACTTTTTTTTGGCATTATTGGGCACAGCAGTTTGGGTTTATTTGATAATATGCAGTTCGTTGAATTCATTTCAATTTGTTGGTTTTTTATGTTTTCAATGAAGTTTTTAATGATATTAGCCTTTCTGGACTGGTCTTAGATTCTGTCGAATGTGTTATTCGTTACTTTTTATATGGTGGTGCTTTTTCTTTTCAGAACTCGGTAATTTTTAATGGCAAAGAACTTATTTTGTTTTGAATTGGTACCAAGTTTTTCTTTGTTTTGTTTGTTGCTTGAAGTGCATTTTGCGTTTCTCATTAGCGGCCGGATGGCAGGCAATGTAGTTAGTGTTGTTATTGTTGTCTTTTGTCTGAAATAGAATTTGATTTTAGAATGATATTTTCCAAAATAATTTCATGTATGGAAGCAATGAAGGATGGTTGCATACTTGTATAAATGCAAGTGTGTGTGTGTGAATATATATATATGTAGCTCCACCGGAAAGTATTTCTTATAATGTTCTTCATTGAAAACGTACATTTGTCACAAATCCTATTTGAAGTTCGTATTGAATTCACTGCACATTTTGCATGCTGAGAAATAAAGATAGATGCCGGTTTCGTCATTCCTAGTTTTATATTGAATCTGTATATTTATATATCATAATAGTTGTTTTCATCTTGTATATCGGCTCTGGGTACTGAAACCTTTCTTATACTATTTGTAGTATACGCATTTAGTTTCAGATGCAACTGTATGCTTGTCATCTTGGTTGGTTGGTTGTTTCTCAAGCCTCTTGAGTAATTGCTTTGTGATGGCTGCATGAATTGATTTGGTGTCATTGGTATCACAAATAATCTGTATATTGCGCTCGATGATCATGCTATAATTCATCCTGTGGAACTAATTTCCTCTCTTTGTATTTCAGCACTTGTCAGTATACTACAGTAATTTTTAATGGCCTATACTGATTTATATGATGAACTACTTATTTATTAGGGTAGTCATATTGAAAAGGAAAAGTAACCTTGTGAATAATTCTTGTACTTGGCCTCTTCTTAAAATTGAGATAGATATGGCATACAATCATCACTTCAACATAGTTCTTCAAATTGGATACTGTACTGTTTTATTCGTTTCAGTAGAACTGGGGAGCTAATAATCACAGTTTATGTTTATACAGGGATGGAGAACTTATAAAATATTGGGGGGAAAAACTTATTTTCAATAGAAAATACGAAGAAAATATCTAAAAAATATAGGAATTTAAAACTTTTAGGGGGCGACCACCGTCACCCACCTCCCTCTAGGTCCATCCCTGATCTATATTCCCAAAGCAATTCTCAAATGTTTGACTGCTCACCTTTCTGCTTTTCATGAGGTTTTAGTGATTGAGTCAGCCTTTCATGCCAGTGGGATGATAGTCTAGAACTACTTTGTCCAAGCATACTAAAAACCATTTAATTGATTTACGTTGCACAACTACAAGCACCTGCTCGAGAAGACTGCAGCGGTGCATGCATTGTGTTGCTGAATTTGCTTTTTGAGGTGTTTCGCTCACCTTTGAGAAGTTTCCTTCTCAACTTTCAAAGGAAAAGAATTTTTTTCTGAGATTGTATTCTCGTCATAAGATTAAAAATAAGAAGGCTAAACTTTTGCTTTTATAGATTGTGATAACGAATTTTTCTATTGAGCTTGGAGTCTATTTGTTTTGAAAATTTTGAAGAAGCTGTCTGGAACAATGTTGACTTTTGATAACCATTTTTAGGGTCTATTATAAATGTTTTCATCCTTTTGGTAAGAGATACATTGAGATTGAATTGAATCTTTATTAAACTTGGTTCTTCTTGTATATACGTCACATTACATTAGATTGGATGGTACCAGATTAAAGGGTTTCCGTCTCTTTCCTTTTTCTCTTTGTTTTCCTTTTCATCATTACAGTTCACTGGGAAAAAAGTTGGTATTCTCGGTCTGGGAAGGATTGGCACGTCAATTGCAAAGAGAGCTGAAGCATTTAGCTGCCCTATTAGTTACCACTCAAGAACAGAGAAACCAGATATCAAATACAAATACTATCCGAGCGTTGTCGACCTGGCTTCCCATTGTGATATCTTGGTTGTTTCTTGTCCCCTGACTAAGGAGACCCACCACATCATCAACAGGGAAGTCATTGATGCATTAGGTCCAAAGGGAGTCCTCATCAACATCGGGAGAGGCCCTCACGTCGATGAACCCGAGCTGGTTTCTGCATTAGCTGAACGGCGACTAGGAGGTGCAGGGCTTGACGTGTTTGAACACGAACCCAACGTACCGGAAGAGCTCTTCGGGCTTGATAATGCAGTGCTCGTACCTCATGTGGGAAGTGATACTGTGGAAACCTGCCAAGCTATGGCCGATCTTGTGATTGGGAACTTGGTGGCACACTTTCAGAAGAAACCACTGTTAACTCCTGTGGTGCTATATTAGTAAATTGCCAACTTCAGATTGCTGCTCTCATTTATATTTTCATGATTTTAAGGACATTTTATTGTACAAATTATATGTAGATGATTGTAAAACCTTCTTCCTATGGGGCAAGTATTTGTTGCAAGTTGAATAAAAATTTAGCCATCCTCACTCCTTAGTTGACTCTTCATTCAAATTGAGTGAAATACTGATTGTATATTAGAATATTATAATAATAAATAATATTCTAGTTCGACCTAATGATTAAGCACTGGATCTCTCTTAGAAGTTCCAAATTCGATCCTTATTAAGATTATATATTCTTTAATTTCCACATCAGCTGCCATTGTATGACAGTCACAGTGTAAATGGTTTATTTTACAAATAAAATTTAAAGTATCTTTCTTTCATCTAAGTACTAAAGTATATTTCGATTAAAATAAATATCTAAATTTATTTTTTGTCCAAATAGACACTTAGTATTTTAGGTCAAAATAAGAACATAAAGTGTTCGATTTTTTATCCAAGTTAAAAAAAAAGTTGACACGTGACATTAATTACAAAACATTTTCGGTATTTAGATAGAAAAAATTAAATACTTTAGGTATCTGTTTTGAACAAAAAATATTTTATGTATCTATTTTGATAAAAAAAAAAAGATAAATTAAGATATTTATTGTAACTAGGGATGGGCATGCGACCCGAACCCAACGGGTTCTGACCCGACCTGATTAGGTCGGTTTTTTTTTTAATTTAGGTTCGGGTCAGGTTTTTTAAAGGTGATGTTTGGGGCGGGACGGATTTGGATTTAGGGTGAAAATACTGGACTTGACCCGACCCAAAAAATATAATTTTACCTTATATATTTAGAAATAATTACAATAATACCCCTATATATATTTTTTCAATTAAACCACTATTTTCATTTAATAAAAATAATATTTTTTATTATTTCTGGTCGGATCGTGTCGGGTTTGAATTTTATCTCAAAAATTGGGTAGGATTCGGGTCGGATGGAGAGTATATATTTTTCGGATTAGGTCAGATGAATGATGTAAATTTTTTTGGTCGGGTCGGGTTGATTGATACCCGACCCAAACTTACTCATACACATCCCTAATTGTGACAAAAAATAATTTAGATATTTGAATAAAAAAATATATCTTTTAGATACTTATTGTAATAAAAATAACAATTATATATTTCAATAGAAATTTAAAAAATGATTGAGCAAATTAAAAGCATTCAAAAAGCTTGGGACACACAACTATTATTTATTTTAAATTTAATTGTGAAATATATAAATTATCTGACATTCGTTATGTTTTTTTTAAACAATTTATTTTCAGATTAAAATTTAAAATTATTATTATTTTAGATAATGTCTAAGATAAAAAGAAATTTAAAAACTTAAATCTTTAATTTTAAATCTCATTATTAACCGTAACCAATTATTTACTTTTATTATCTAAATGACCACTTAATTATCACCACGCTCTGTTGATAGATCATTTCCTTTACCGTCATCTTAAATCTCTTAGGTTTTGTTTGTTTTCAGTGTTTAAGGTCTTCAAAGTTTTTATGTTTGTACCGTGCAGACCACGCGCAGACATTGGGCTTCACAGACTGTTTGTTTTTTAGAAGACATAAGTTCTTCTAACGTCTTCGCGTAACGTCTGCGTGTCCTCTTCTTGACGCAGACGTGGACTTATGTCTTCAAAGCTCTTCTAACCTCTTCAAAGAACCATTTTTTCTATTAATTTTTTAAAAATTATAAAATGTCATTAAATTTAATGAATTATTATAAAATAGTCACTATAATGTTGTAATAAATTATAAAAATTCGATAATATAATAATTATTTTATAGTATTTAGATAAATTTATTAATAATTTTATAATCTTTTAATAAATTTAATAAGTATTTTATAACTTTTAAACTTTATTGACTAAAATTATCATTTGTATATAACTCAACGATATCTAATATACTTTATTTGAAAAAAATATATTAAACTTAGTAAAAAAATATTATACAATTAAACTTGTATTATCAAACTTTTATAATTTATTACAACATTATTATCGAACTTAGTAAAAAATATTATATAATTAAACTTATATTATCTAATTTATTAAAAGATTATAAAATTATTAATAAATTTATTTAAATACTATAAATAATTATTATATTATCAAACTTTATAATTTATTACAACATTATAGTGATTATTTTGTAATAATTCATTAAATTTAATGACATTTTATAATTTTTAAAAAATTAATAGCAAAAATGATTATTTGAGTATAGTTTAAAAAATTAGTTTATTTATATTTCAGTTTATTTTAACAGTCACGTTAAAAAACAAACAGTATTCTTCTTATAAAATGCAGACTTTTGGTCCACCTCTTTTGCTGTACATGACTACAGATGTGATTCACAGGCTGTAAATATTTTATCTCTATAAAAATAAACACCATCTTAGATTTCAAAAAGACAAAAAAAAAATCAAAACCACCGGGATGAACGGGGAGGAGGGATTTCCTGGGATATTAGAGGCGACCGTTCCCGGCTGTAAAATTCAACTAATTCCATCCATAAAATTACTCAAATTTGGATAATTTAATTAACATTTAATAAAATATAAAATAAAAGGAAAGATATTAACGCCAACCAGTTCATTTTTTGTCTGACAAAACTGTTTACACTAGCAAATCTCTAGTCCCCCTCAACAGGCGCTATCATTTCTTCCACCACAGATCTGATCCGAAACTTTGAGATTTCTTTACCTCCATTGCGGAATTCTCAAGAACACTCCTTTGAAACCTAATCACCATGTTTCTGTCCAAAAAGCCCACTTCGAAATTCCTTCTCTCTCTCACCTTTGTCCTACTACTCTCATTTCCCATAAACACCAATGCCTCTGATCCCACCAGCTCTGAAGACGATTCTGATGACCTTGAACAGCTTTTAGCCCTCGATGAGCAAGAAGATCAGCTACAACAAGACCAAGACTCTATCAGTAGATTTTCGGAAGCAGAGGTGCTGAGTAAAGCACAAAGGATAGTCCTTGAACTCAACAGTGATAATTCCGAGAGGGTTATTGATGAGAACGAGTTTGTTATGCTTTTGGGGTATGCTCCTTGGTGTGTTAGGAGTGCTGAGCTTATGCCCCACTTTGCTGAAGCTGCTACTTCGTTGAAAGCATTGGGAAGTCCCATTGTGATGGCCAAACTTGATGCTGAAAGGTACCCCAAGGTAGCTTCTTTGCTTGATATTAAAGGGTTCCCTACTCTGATTTTGTTTGTTAATGGCACTCCTCAAGCATATACGGGTGGATTTTCAGCGTAAGTTTCTCTTCTTTGTTGAATTGCAATTTAATTTAGAGTGGATCATTCGCTTTGGATAATTCATATGGTAGACAATTATGCTTAATGTATTGTCGGGTCGATTTCTGTTTTCAGGGAAGGAATGGTGATATGGGCGAAGAAAAAGACCGGTGTGCCTGTCATTAGAATAAGCACGGTGACTGAGGCAGAAGATTTTCTTAGGAAGTACCATACGTTTGTGATTGGTCTTTTTGAGAAATTTGAGGTATGTTTACTTGAATCGTTTTAAAGATCATGTCTAAATATGGTTGTGAGTTTTATGGTAAAGCTTGATTTTGGGTTATAAATTTTAATTATTACTCAAGTTCCACGCCTTAACGATGCAATGATATTCTTTAATCATATGTTTGTAATTGGTCTTTTGAGAAAGCTCTTATCTAAACCTTCATGTTTGTCGACTGTTCTGTATCATGGTCCTTGTTCATTTTGAAGTTGGTAACTAAACTATTGATATTCTAGGTTGACCCTTCTGAAGTTATTCTGCAATTTCCTATATTAAATTTCAGAATATGTTGATAGCATTTAGGTACAAATTTTATTGCTAGGTAAGTCATCATTCAGGTTCATTGTGTTTGAACTGTATTTCTCTAGGTTCTCCTTTACCATAATTTTCATTAGTCCATTAAGTTGTGGTGTATCAAAAATTTCTTTCATTTAGATGACAAGTGGGACTGCAATTCTAGACTTCTGGAAATTTTCAAATTCATACCGTTTATCCTTTGTTTTGATATATCTTCTTCTACTCTGCCATCTTCTAAGGTGCATGGCTAATATGTAACATTGTCCTATAGTGTCTCAAATTTGCTAATGCACATGCAGAATGTAATCATCATGGTGTTTTTGCAGGGTTCTGATTATGAAGCATTTGTAAAGGCAGCAACTACTGACAATGAAATCCAGTTTGCTGAAACAAACAACATTGAGGTCGCAAAAATTCTCTACTCTGATATTAAAGCTACTAATTTCCTTGGGATTGTTAAAAAATGAACCAGAAAGATACACTGCTTATGGTGAGTTAATATTCTGGAAAACTGCTTATTGTGAATGGTTCATGAGTTATTTACTTTCTACTTTTTTAGGTCTCCTTCCTTTGAGTGGTTCATATGTTAATATGCAAATTATTTTGACTTTGAAATTTATAATCAGTGATTGTCAGGAGTAAGATTGCATGATACTGTTTAATAAACTTATGGACTAATGACTTCTTCTGTTCTTGCCTTTTTTTAATTTTATTTTTGTTTGAATATCAGTGAACCAGAATCATTGACGAGATTAATAACATAGCTGTCTGGTTTTACAGAAGGTGCCTTTGAGATGGAAAACATTTTGCAGTTTCTGGACTACAACAAGTTTCCATTGGTTACTAAATTGACTGAACTAAATTCTGTCAGAGTTTACTCCAGTCCTGTCAAGCTTCAGGTTTCCATTCTTCTCGTCATTACCTTTGATTGTTTACTATGTTCATGGTTTCCATTTTCCTTTTCTGTATATAACTATTTCATATTTCTTTTTCCAAATACAAACTTATTGAAAGCACTGGCATCTCAGTGAAGATATTGGTTGCAGATAGGTATTGAATGTAAAGGTCTTAGGTTTTGCACAGTGATTGAAATTTTCCCCAGTGTATTTGTAAAATTTTGTTTACAATTTGGTTAGTGTTACTACATCATTTACCCTGATTAGTTGATTCGGGTGTAACTGGAACTATATCTGTCATTGAATTTTAGTTAACTAATATATAATCTACCAACACTAATGTGATGGGAA